TTTTTTTTTTTCTTCATTTTCGTTTTTGTATTTTGAGGAAGAAATGTAAACTTATTGCTATAATTTCAATGGAGAAGAAGGAAGAACAAAGAGCAAGAACTGAAACCAAAAACACTAAAAAAATTCGGAACAACAGCTGCCTCACAGGGCAACTCCTGCTGTGTTCGCAGCAGCACATGTGCTGCTGCCGAACCAGCAGCAAGGCTCCGGCGGCAACGTTGGTGGCGGCTAATTTTGGGTCGCCGGAAGTGTGTATTTTTAGTGAAAGTGTGTTTTCTTACTAGGGTTTGAAAATTAGGGTAATTTGGATTTTTTAGGCCTTTTATTTAAAACTTGGGCCAATGTTATTGGATAATGGCCTAGTAGGTTTTAAGTTTTGGGCCTAAAAATTAAATTGACCCTATTTTCTTGTTAGATGAGATGGACTACAAAGAATATTGAAAAATTGGACCGGGATGTGGCCCAATGTAATTCTTTTTATCCATGTTGTAATTTAAATTCTTAGGATGGACCATTAGTGATTATTATTCATTTAATTATCACTTTTACCGCTTTATGGTTGAATGTTTAATTATTGTCACATGTCATGTAGATTAAATGAAACACCACTCGGTGCACTAAAATCATATGCATTTACATTTAAATATTTTTTTATCACTCTAAATTAATTAGAGGTGGTTGAAAAATATTTTATAATTAGCGCCATTATAATTTTTTATATTTGGCGGAATAATTAAGTGAAAATCCAACGATACAAAATAATAAGTGGGAGAAGGTTTATAGGCATGTATAAACCTACGGCCTCCTCCGTCATCCAATTTGTTATTAAAATACGTATGTTTAGTATCGAATTATATTGGTCTCCCTATAAGAAAACTACGTTATTTTAGATTAATTGAAATTGGATCTAATAATAGAATTTCTTTAAAAATGAAATAATGAGATGATCATCATATAGACGACATCTTATATATTTCGGATGTTTTAAAATTATTGACGGAGGTTATTACACTTATATATGAATATTTTGGGAGACTTCCTATAGAAGATTTCAACAAAATTATTCATAGGCCAAATAATAATCAATCCTCATTTTCTTGTGGTATGAGATACCTAGCTTAATAAAATGAGTGGGAGGGTCCCAACCTTGCCAACAACTACATTGACCTCCTATAGAGGGCGTGTTTAAAGTTGTAAGGGTTTAAGATTTTTTGATTACAAATATAGTTTTGGGTCTATATTTGCATATTCATATAGATGCATCATACAAAGATTATTGCTCATTTTATTAATACGCGAATCGTTAATTTTACAGAAAATATCGCTTAATCCATTATCAGTAATACTTAACAAAAATCAACTTGTGGGAGAAAACTACGTTGACTAGAAAAGGAATCTTAATATTGTTCTTACCGCTGAAAAACACAAATATGTGTTGGATGAAGTTTGTCCCGAAGCTTCTAAAGATGACTCCACGGAATCTCAAAAGGCTGCATATGAAAAGTGGCATCATTCTGATGAGATGACCCGTTGTTACATTTTGGCATTCATGTCAAATGTGTTACAACAGGAACATCAGAATATGCAAATTGCTTTTGACATAATGGAAAGCCTTCAAGAGATGTTTGGACATCAAAGCCGACAAGTTAGGCAAGCCTCCATTAAGACAATTATGAACACACGCATGAAACCGAGAGCATCTGTAAGGGACCATATGTTAACTATGATTGGTTACTTCAATGCTGCAGAGGTTTTAGGAGCTTACATTGATTCCGAGACACAGATTGACATGATCCTTGAGACTCTTCCTGAGATGTTCTCACAATTAATAGTTGATTATAATCTACATAAGATGGACATGTCTCTGACGGAATTAATGAAAGAGCTACAAAATGCTGAATCTGTTCTAAAAGCTAGAAGTGGAAGTGCTTTGATTGTTACAGCTGGACTCTCTCATCCTAAGCCTTCTGGTGGCAAAGGAGGAAAGGAAGAGGAAGAGGCCAAACAAAAAGCCAGATAGCACGTCAAAGGGGAAGAAAACTACTACTGATGGGAAACCAAAGGGAAAGTGTTTTATTTGTGGATAAAAGGGTCACTGGAAGAGGAACTGCCCATATTACCTAGCTAAGGAGAAGCAAGGTAAAAGCAATGATGCCATATTCATTGAGTCATGCTTAGTGGTTGATTCTACTAATAACTTAATTGTAGATTCTGGAGCCACTAATCATGTTTGCAATTCTTTGCAGGGGTTCCAGAAAACCAAGCATCTCAGTGAAGGGGAGTACACTCTCAGGGTTGGCACAGGAGCAGTGGTATCTGCCAAAGTTGTTGGCACTTTTACTTTATGTTTTGAGAATCGTAGGCATTTGATATTAGATGATTGTTATTATGTTCCCGAACTTACATGGAACTTGGTTTTTGTTGCACTTTTATATCATGTTGGTTATTCGGTACTTTTTACCGGTTCTACGGTGGTTATTAAGTTGAATAATTCTGTTATATGTTCGGGTCATACGGTTAATAGTCTTTATGTCTTAAGTCCTTTAATTGGCTCTATACATAACACTACTACTGCTAAGAAAAAAAAGAAGTCGTCTAGTACTAATGAAACTTTCTTATGGCATCTTAGATTGGGTCATATCAATCTAAATAGGATTCAAAGATTGGTAAATGATGGTCCTTTAAATGAATTAGAGGTTGAATCTATACTAACTTGTGAATATTGTATAGAAAGAAAGAT